AAGGTGACTAAACAAACAGTGGCACCATTACCTACAAAACTGATGTGCTGCCAAAGTTTTGAAAATTTCCTTACTAGAGTTTTTCAATTATTTGCTGATGCATACTGAAAAATGTACATACAGGAGAAACATGCTAATTCAATTTACATATTTCCTGATTTCTGAGATCTCACACATAAAAACCTAAAGTTGTCTTTAGTTTTTCAAGGAATTTCTATGTGGAAAAGTAGTGAGTTTTTTGCCTAGGACTGAATACTCACACAATCTGACAAAGATGTACATATGAGCACACAGGTATGCACCAGAGCCACGAAGTGCCATGTACCTCTCATCTAGTTTTTGGGGTGCAGAATGCAGCCATCACATTCCAGTTGTTACCCCAACCTCCTTTACTAGCCAAATGGGCACTTTCAGGCTATGAGTCATTTTGTCTTAGCATAGAGGTAAAAAAAAAATAGGTTCTTCAAGGGTGTGATTCATCTGTCCTGTTTCTCTCCATTCCCCACACAGGGAGCCTTGGGTGACTAACTCAGATGTAGATGTCTACATTTTGCCATATGAATCCCACTCACAGTCTGTAATTTCCCAAGCATATCATACAAGAGCATGATATTTCATATCCAAAGAAGGGAGGCAAAAGAGACAATTTCCCTATCCTCCCCTCACCTGCGCCAAATTAATTATATATGTTGCTCTTGTACTGTATGTGGTCGCTACAAGACTGACAATATACCTTGACTTGTAAGACTATCAAAATATTTTCCAAATACTACTTTTTTTCTGATACTCAAGTTGAATGTTATTATAGAGCCAAGAAAAAGCTCACAATGAATATCACATTTTCAGGAAAGGAAGGAGTTAGATGAAATTATAATTCAATTGACTAGATGAAAATTGTTTCAAGGGAAGGAAATCTGCATGTCAGAAGGTTTCGGCATCTCAGAGGACAGCCTAGATTCAGGCAATATGAAAAGAGAAAGAGGGTTGATCTGTATTCTCACAAACAACCAGAGTTAATCAAATTTTCCTAAACTGATTAATAGAAACAAAAGAAGAAGCAGGGCTCCCTGTAACTGCTCTGAATATTAACTTGAAAACTGTAATCTCAAGATGACCCTCAGTCCTCGCAAAGCTAAATTCTCAGTGACACTGGATTTTTAACCTTCCCTGGAGGTGGCAGCAAAGGGGGAAGAAAGAGAGAAGCCACTATTTCCTTCACTTGCAGAGACACGGAGAAAGGAAGAAGAGATAGCACCAGGTGATGTCTGAGGAAAGAAGGAGAATGAAGCATTTCAGAGGAAGTTGAGAATCATCAAATTTTTTATTTACAGCAACGAGGAGAAATTTTAAATCCTTCTATGCAGAATATGCTCACTCTAGAAGTTGAAGCAATATCTACTTGAGCATGCTCAACTATGAGAAAATAAATCCTTCTCTTTTGCCCCTTCTGACTTTGATGCTTTTTTCTTGTAATTTCCACTTATCTGAGTAAAATCACTACTTGCTTTTCTGAAATATTTAGTGCTGTTTCTCAGTATACAAAGCCAAACCAGATGAAAGATATTTCCAAGAGGAAGAAATAACAATAAAGCACTGCTCCACACAGGTATCTTTGAAGAACTTAAAAACAAAGACATCTCAGGATCCCAAACAATAAGATGTCTTCTTCAATAATCTGAACGCTTCTGTTTGAGGAAAGTTGTCAGATGAGAGATCCCTATTAGTGAGTATTTTCAGTGTTCCCCTGAGAAGAGGCAGACAATGAAATTACAATTCATGACTTTGGGAAAACTGCTGTCACGAAAAGCTAATGATATCACCATACTGTGTGAGATATTAGTACATTACCTATAAATATACTTTACAGGAATACTGGACCACCACCAGAGTCCATGTACACAGATCTTGTCTGGAATCTCTATAAGACAATACACCTCTGCTTTTCCTTCAAGACATTGATTTGAGCTATTTTACTTCTTTTTTCTTCAGTTTTGTCATTAATCTTACAAGAATTTCCAGAGACATTTCCATATTAACATACTTGTCATTTTTAAAGCGAAGCACAAGAACATTTCCATTTTTAGAGGATACGTAGAGCAATGTATTCCTTCTATTAAAATACTTTGCAGACTCATTTTCTTCCAGTACGCATCTGATGCATTTAGGTCCCAAACCTGCAATGAGCACAGATGCAGGGGTCTGCCCACACACAGCAGGAAAAGGGCCATAATTCTGACTCATCTGGTAATTTATGCTTCTATACTGGTGTTACAATAATGTTAATATTGCATGAAAATATTTCTATAACACTTATAATATTTGTCAAAAAATAGTACTCAGAAATTGTCAAATTGCCACCATCATTCCTACATGATCAGAATATCTCATCTTCCAGTAGGCTGCACTGGCAAGGGCATGTAGGAACGCAGCAAACGTAGCACACACACTTTGGTATTGCCACTGTTTGTAATGACCTGAGCCACACACAGAGCTCAGAGGGGCAAGGAGACAACATGCCAGCAAATAAAAATATCCAACTAAGTTGCTGTGAAATGCCTCCAAATTCCATGGCATAAAATGCTTTGCCTGCTGCCAACCATGCAGTTAGCAGCAGACCTTTAAGGTCTACCACCACTGTTTCTTGTTAAAGTGTACATTCAGCTCATGTTCTCATAGAAACGCAAAAGATAACCACAACTCTCAGAAAGTGCTTAGCAAGTAAAACCAATAAATTTACACTGACCTATGTGTAGCAATGACTATACAGCACAGGTCTAATGTATAAGCAGGACAAGTCATATGTAGAATAAACATGGGAGTTTTACATTTATATATATATACACTTGGTCTCAACTAGGATAAATTTAAAACTTGAGACCAAAATTTAAACTTTTGAATGGTATTCCTACTATCTCATTTAATCAATTAATTTGATCAAACTAAGAAATGTCCCCCACTAATTTTTTTCTTTTTTTTCACCTGTAGCATCCATTTAATCCATGATGAAATATATGATATAGGAAGTTTTGAAATTTTTACTTGGATGCACACAGCCAAATGTATGCAAGTTTGCCAGTTTGATTTCCTTTTGTATACTGTCTTCCGTGCCTGCATTTTAGATATCTTTAATCTTTTGTCATTAAGTATACTAGGAGTTACACAAATCCAGCCCCTAAACTCCCAGTAAGCAGTGATGGAATTGCTGGGATGTATTTCTTTTTATTCTATGCCAAGAACACAAAAAAAAAGGTTCTCAGAAAAAAAAAATCAACAAACCAAAAACCCACAGGATGGTCTTAAACTGCAGATCAAACTAAAAGGAAATAAGAAAATGCAGAGGCAGTGGAAACATGAACAAGTACCCTGAAATTCAGTTGTGTGAGGATGGGGTATGTGGGGCCACAGTGAAGCTGGAACTGAAGCTGACAAGAGATGCAAAGAATAACAGCAAGGCCTTCTACAGGATATTAACCAGAAAATGAAGATCAAAGAAGGTGAACCACCAGATAAACAATGCTGGAAAACTCTAAACAGTGGATGAAGAGAAGGCTGAGGTGCTCAGCAAATTTTTTGCCTCAGTATTCAACGGCAAGCTGTCAATGGGGTGGACTTCAAGATGGGGACTGGGAGAACAAAGCACTTCCCACTGAAAGTTGAGATCAGGTTCAAGATCACCTGACGAACCTGAGCATACGTAAGTCTATGGGACACAATTAGGGCATCCCGGAGTCCTGAGAGAATTGTCTGATGTAGTTGCCAAGCCATTCTCTGTGATATTTGAAAGGTCATGGTAGTCAGATTAAGTCCCATGTGACTGGGAAAGGAAAACACTGTACCCTCTTTTGAAAGAAGGACCCTGGGAACTACTGACCGGTCAGCCTCCCCTCTGTGCCTGGAAAGGTCATGGAACAGATTCTCCCAGAAGCTGTGCTAAAGCACATGGAGGTCAGGGAGGGGATTGGGACAGCCACCACAGCTTCACCAAGGACAATTTCTGCCTGACCAGCCCAGTGGCCTCCTATGAAGGAGTGACTGCACTGGTGGACAAGGGATGGGCTGCAGATGGACTTTATCTGGACATTCTGTAAAGCCTTTGATGTGGGTCCACACCACATCCTTCTCTCTAAATTGGAGACAGAAGGATTCAATGGGTGGACTGCTAGGTGGATGAGGAATTGGTTGGATGGTCACATCCAGAGGCTTGTGGTCAATGGCTCTGAATCCCGATGGACATCGCTGACAAGTCCTGTCCATTAGGAGATTGTACTGGGACCAGTGTTACTTATTATCTTCATTAGTGACAGAAACAAAGGGATTGAGTGCACCCTCAACACATTTACAGATGACACCAAGCTGAATGGTGTGGTCGACACACCTGAAGGACAGGATGGCATCCAGAGGGACCTGGACAAGCTCGAGAATTGGGCCTGCGAGAATCTCATGTGGTTCAACAAGACCAAGTGCAAGGTGCTGTACCTGGGTCAGGGCAATCCCTGGTACCAATCCAGTCTGGGGAAGGAACAGATCTAGGGCAGATCTAGATCTGCTGTGAAGGACAATCACTGCTAACCCATGTGTTGCTGCTGGAGAAGGAGCTGGACCTGACCCAGCAATGTGGCTTTGCAGCCCCAAAAGCCAGTTGTATCCTGGGCTGCATCCAAAGCAGAGTGGCCAGCAGGGCCAGGGAGGTGATCCTGCCCCTCTCCTCTGCTCTGGTGAGATCCCACCTGCACTGCTGCCTCCAGCTCTGGGGTCCCCAGCACAGGAAGGACCTGTTGGAGCAGGTCTAGAGGAGGGCCACCAAGTAAATTGGAGAGATTGAGCACCTCTCCTATGTGGAAGGACTATGAGAGAAATGAGACTGTTCAGCCTCACCTTCCAGGATCTAAAGGGAATCTTCAAGAAAGCTGGAGAAGGACTTTTTACAAGTATATAGTGACAGGGCAAAAGAGAATGGCTTTAAACTGAGAGTAGGTTAAGATCAGATTTTGCAAAGAAATTCTTCACTGTGAGGTTTGTGAGGCACTGGCACACATTGCCCAGAGAAGTTCTGGATGTGCCATCCCTAGAAATGTTCACGACCAGGCTGGATGCGCTTTAAGCAACCTGACCTAGGAGAAGTAAGTTTGGAACGAAGTGATCTTTAAGGTCCCTTCCAATCTAAGCCATTTGATCACTCTACAGCTGAAGCAAAACTCTTGCTTTGAATGACTGAGATGAGTTTATTAAAAGAATCTTTAACACACTCAAAGGGCAGACCTAAGTATAAAAGACTTGTGTGTGTGAATGCATGCATGTGGCAGAGTGGGAAGATGTAGATATGTATGTTACTGGATAAAACAAGATCATATTTGGGAAGAAAATAAAACAGATGCAATTTCTGTGGTCTTGAAATCTTCTCTTGGAAAGGACAAATCATTCAACTCTTACAGATCCTTCCCAAGTTTTGCAATGTCACTCAAGCCATAACACAATGAAGAACATTGAGTGCTTCTTTTACTTCCTCCTCAATTATTAGAAACCCTTCTCTGATTCATTTCTGCCCACATGAAATTACAAATAAACCAAACCAAATAAGGCAACACCTTTTCCTACCACTAGGTGAGCTGCAGCCCTCTGATGTGCAAACACAATCATTGTCATTATACTTTGAGGGTCCAAATGCCAAGGGAGCTGTAGTGCAAGGAGGAATGCAGAAAAGGTTACTTACAGGCTCATCATTCTGAAGCTAGATGATTACAAGTTGTTGCTGTAGTTTATTAGTTCTTCAATCAGTCAAAGTCATTACTTGACTTTTTTACTGACTTGCATTAAATTAAGATTGCTTGAAGGCATATGGAGCAATTTACCTTACATGAACTAAATGAATTAACAAAATTGCACATGGAGAAACCATTATCTGATCCCTGGTTGCAATACTTCACACTTCTTTAGCATCTGTCGTGCAAGATCTTAAAGCATTCAGAAGCCAAAATCTTCTAAAGATGAGTCCTACCTTGCTCAGAGGTTACTGCTTGCACAGGTTTGTGTCTACCTCTCCCTGAGGGTGTCTGTGAGGCCTGTAGAGGTCCAAGGTCATATTCACAACAAAAGTCTGAAAGTTTGAAAAGAGCAGATCTGCAGGCACAGGTTCATGCATGGCTGGCAAGGGGCACTAGGAGGGATGTGGGGACCAAATGCACAAGCAGAGCATTCTCCTTACACATCTCCACAGCTCTGCTTGCATAGGTCTTATGGCACTTGACAGGGAAAGCACTTGAGAGCAGAGTTTCTGCAAATGGCTGTATTTGAGACAACTGTTTTGGGAAGGGCAGACACACCCACCCATCGTGCTCCACTTATCCACACACACATATCTTTGGATTACTGTATCCCTTTTCATTTCCTGCAAACAAGTTTGTCCTTTCTTTTTCTCAATGTACTGTAAGAAGATAAAATTGAAAATTAAGGAAATTAATAAATAAGAAAGACTAAGCACATTTGTTAGGATTGTTTGGCCACAAGGGAGTCAAAATAGCAGTGTCCATCATAGGGTGACACATTATGAGGCTTCATGAATGTAAAAGCCATGGTCTCACAAAGAGAAGCATTCCTCCAAGGAGTGTAGACAGGGAACTGTGGGCAGAGGATTGAATTTTGCACGCTTTTAACTACTGGTATTTCACTTCCAACACTGAGCTCCCTTAGTAAGAGATGAAATTCTCAAGGTGTGACACTGAAGAAGACTCAGGATGGTGAAAGCTGAGGATAAATCTCTGTATTTCTGAGTGTCAATGTCATATCTGTAGAGTTGATTGCAATGTCTGAAACAATCCAGAACTGCACAGGTACAATGCTGACATAAAGCTTTAATAATTCTATCCTCTTTTATATGCAAATTATTTTCTGCACATCACAGAATCTCATCCAATGACCTGATTTCATACACTGATATTTCTGAACTAATTTACATAAATACACAGGTGGAGGCACACACACACACACACATATATATATGTATGTACACATTATATAAAACACACTTAAACATACCACGGAAAGACTGTAGAAATTGCCAGTAAGGAGTGGTCAAGACCCTCCTTATAGATATGATGAGTGACGTGATAACACTTTGCATCAAAAACAGATTTTAGGATTCAAATTTACATTCTTCTTGCAAGACCCTTAGCCATCAGGATCTAGAGTATCTGGATATATTCTCTCCCACAGCTGATGCAGCTGATATAAAAAATACTGAACTTGCTAACTCAGTGTAGTTGAACTTATCGAATTGACTCCATGGCTCACTAGTCAAGACATATACTTAGGAACCTGAATGATTCAATCAGAGAATGATTTGGGGGTTTTGTTCTTTGGCTTTGGTTGTGGGGGTTTTATCAGAGGGGAATATGAGTGCAAATTTTATGATTAAGCACAATTCTAAAATACACTATTTTTTGCCACTGTGTATCCAAACTTTCTTCTTTTCCACCTAGGGACAATATCCCAAAGAACAGCAACCAGCACACACACAGCAGTACTGCTCAGAGGGTGTGTCTTATTCTTTTTAGTCTACATGCACTACGTGACACAGCAGGGCAAACATTCAGAAGGGTTCGGTTTTTCTTTCAGACACCAACACAAGTCTGATTTCACAAGTATCTGGCCTGCTAAGTGAGCACTGGCGCTGACTCCTTGGAAAAACGAAGGCAAGGAAGGGACAGGCACCCCTATGTGTTTGCAAAGTTCAGCAGACTCCTGCAATTCAGCATGCTAGTGGTTTTATCAAAGCTACAGCACATGGGTAGATACCACCTTACAAGTAGATATCATATTACCACAGCACTCTCAGCAGAGGCATTCAGTACATTCAGCATTTAATTTCTCTTTCAGAAACAGCACAATTGCACTGCAAGTGGTGAGGAGAGTGCCTACTGACTTCAGTGGGCAAAGGATATCACCATGAGTCTCTGCAGAGAGTATCACACTTAACACACAACACTTTTCATATTTGTCATGATATATTACAAGGTAAACTTTCATTGTTTATTCACTATTAGATTTTTCAGAGACAGAAAATACAGTCAATAAATGAAATACAACAGAATATCCTTTTTAAAAAGCCTAAACAAATATCAGCTCTTATTAATAGGCTGTCTTTCTTTCCTTCCACAACACCACATTCCAGGATATTTTGAGTGATTTGAGTTCAATTTTCATTGAAGTGGAAGACTCAAGGGTGTCCATATAATGTAATTTAATAAGTACATTGGAAAGAAAATATTAACCCTTCCACTCTGTCTACAATCTATTCCTACATTATAAAATATTTAGCTGCAGAACACTGATATTTTAATTTAAGATAAAACTCAAAAACATCTTAATTTGAAAATAACTGGTATTTAATTGTATGTATATTTAGCCATTTGTGAATTCCTATAAGTTAAACTAATACAACTGACCACTTACTATGTTTGAGTGGATTTCTTCGGAAAGTTTTAGTAACCAGCTTTGAAATATTTCTCTTAGAATCACAGAATCCTTTTAGATTGAAAAAGACAATTTAAGATTCTCAAGGCCAACCATTAAACTATTCCAGCCAAAACCAGCACACTCAGCACTTGCTAAGTCCACCACTAAACCATGTCCCTAAGAACTGCATCTACCACACATCTTTTCAATACCTCTAGGAATGATGGTGATTCAACCACTTCACCTCCCCATGCAGCCTGTTCCAGTGTTTGACCACCCTTTCAATGCAGAAATTACTCCTAATATCCAATGTAAACACCTCCCCAACATATCTTGAGGTCACTTCCCCTTCTCCTATTTCTTATTACCCAGAAGAAGAGGCCAACCTCCACCTGGCTGCAGCCTTCTTTCAGGCAGTTGTAGGGAGGGATAAGATCACCCTTGAGCTTCCTTTTCTCCAGGCTAAACACCCCAAGCTCCCTCAGCTGCTCCTCACAGGATTTGTGCTCCAGACCCTTCATCAGCTCTGCTGCCCTTCTCTGGACTCACTCCAGCACCTCAAAGTCCTCCCTGTAGTGAGGGGCCCAAAACTGGACACAGCTCTCAAGGTGTGGCCTCACCAGCACCAAGTACAGGGGGACAATCAGTGTCCCGGTCCTGCTGGCCACATTATTGCTGACTCAGGCCAGGATGGCATTGGCCTTCTTGGCCACCTGGGCTCACACTGGCTCATACTCAGCCGCTGTCAACCAACACCTCAAGGTCCTTTTCCCTGCGTGGCTTTCCAGCCACTGTGCCCCAGCCTGTAGCATTGCATGGGGTTGAATGGTTTGTTGAATAAACAGTGACTAAGAAAATTGTTTCTAAGCAGTTATGGATGGGGCAATATGTCATTAAGTTTAGAACAGAGCATACTGGTATTGCAGAGATAGCTGAAAGAATTGTTTTCAACTTCTTGACTTCAGAGGAAAACAGTTTCCTTCATAGGCAAAGAGAACTAGGTAGGTCCTATGAACCAAATATTAAACAAATGATTCTACATAAAATTTCCTTACCTAAATTATTCCAGTGTGTTTGCTGTACACAGGGAACATAGGGACATCACTGTTGCTATCTTGTAAGTAAGGCACTCATCAAATGCACCACCAGAGACAATTTCCCTCTCTAGATTTGCCTTCTCAAATCCTTTCTTCATGTAATACCTTTGCAGTGGTTACTCCCTATTTCTTGCAGTTTATTGTAAAAAAGCATTCCCTACTGTTATACTGACTTTTCAGCTTTGGAGAGGCAGTACATCGTGTTCTGACAATTGTCACCAAGGGTCTCATTCCACCCTAACATAAGGTAGTCATCACTTAAAAGTAAAAAGGAAGGGGTTTGTTAGGAAGATAAAAAATACACTCTTCAAAACAAATTTGGTTTTCTCTGTAGCTTATAACTAGCTTATTTACACCTATGCAAATATTTGTCTAAAACCAAATAAAACTCCAACAGGTACCCGGCTGCTAGAGCAATAGCATAGGGGGTCACAGTAACACATCATTAAGTCTCTTCAGTGCAATTAGTGTTTTGATAGATATAACTCTCTTTATCCTAATA